TAATGGAAAGCTTTACTTTATGCCTCAATACCCAAATATGACTTTTGTGCATTTGAGGACAGGAAGCACAGAACTGTAGCGCTAAAAAGGATCCCAAAGTCCAATCTCTGGCCAAAGCAGGAAATTCACACTACTTAAAAGCACCCCTGCAAAGTGGCCATCTAACTTCTGTTTAATCCCTTCCAGTGAAGGACGTTCATCATCACACTACTCTTATAGTAGTGACAATCTTCCTAATATTTTTCTGAGCTCTTCTTTCTCACTATTTGAACCCATTACTTCTTAGGGCACTGCCCTGTAGAACTCCAGGAAACAATGTGGATCCCTCTTCCATGTGACAACTCTTCAAATATTTGAAGAAGGCTAAGAAGAAGATCCCTTCTTACTACATCAAGGATGCCTAGTTAGCTGTAAAGAGGTGTAAACATGGGGTTCACCTGCTCGGCAGCCAGTGCCTCACTGTAGCACTCCAAGAAATTGCCCACCATGACAGAGCCCACGATGGTGAGGCCCTTGCCGGCTTTCAGCTGGGAGGCGAAGGTGAGCAGACGTGGATGCTTCACATGCAGGTCCTCGTCCAGCTTCAGAAGCACCAGCAGCTGTGGCCTGGGAGAAAAGGATATCCAAGATACGCATACAGGGAGTGAAGTAGCAGGTGGTTTAAGGCAATCGTACGTCGTTCACATACACTTGTGGAGCATATTCATGTACACGCATGGAGCATTTTATAGCACAAGACACACACAAGAAATGAGAGATACACAATATGGGCATCACGTGTACGCACACAGTCCGTCTCATGCACACACAGCCCCAGCGAGGCAGCAAAGTCAAGAAGCAGCAAAAGATGCTTCCTTACCTCCAGTTCTTGGTGTGGGGTGGCCCTTCCTCAAGACGCAGCAGGGCGAAGCGGGCTGCGCTCAGGGACAGGCCACGGATGCCATCCCCCCACTCCTTTTCAGCCCTGGGGGAGAGGGAGAGACAGAGAGAGAGGCACTGTTCAGCCACAGAAGGTGCTTGGGAGGACCAGTCCTCAAAATGTCCCCCACCTTCCAGAATTCAGGCAGGGGTGATTGCACCAAGACAATCATGAAAAATCCAGATGGCTATGTAATAACACAAGATCAGTTTTTTATATACAGATGGAGATGAAAAACAAACATTATGCTTCCTGCTCTCTTCTTTTTCTTCTTCAGAGAGATGGAGCCAAAGAATTTGAGCTTAAAACCTCTGTGTCTCCAACCAGCACTGCAGTTTTCAGGAGGAAAATGTTTCTCTTTTGGGATGACAGAGGGTAGAAACCCTGACCTTTTTATGTTCTGTAACTGAAGACAGCAGTTCCAGGATTTGTGACCCTACCTAGACTTCCATACAGGGTCTAAAACAGATCCTCAAAAGCCCAGAGCAAACCCTTGCACAACCATCTCCATCAGAATAGGAAAAGGTTGAATGGGACACGAGGACTCCAGAGGGCAGGTGAATGAATGTAGCTGCAAGGGATGTTCCTTGCTATTTCTTCACTGAGGGACAGGAGACTGCCTTAAAGGGGTTTGGCCCCCAGAGCCCCAGGAAGTGAGAGGCACTCACCCATGGTACTCAATGTATTTGTAGATCATTCCAGCTATCACCATGGCAACAATGGCATAATACCAGGAGGAGATGAACATGAGCGCCACGCAGATACTCATGCCCATGAAAGAGAGTGCCCTGTGAGGAGAGAAGGAGAAGACACAGAGCCATTAGCTACAAATGAACTTGTTATTGAGATGGGAGACAAGAGCTTCCAGGTGCTGTTTTCCATTCCAGAGAAGCATGGAATCCTGCTCAAACGTCTTGAGTCTTGAGTTTCCTCCTGACACCCCCAATTGGAGCCCCTCTTTTGCTCTGCTAGATATGGAACTTGCAGGCACCGATTCCCTCCCTTTCTCCCCCATCTTTACAACAGCCAACGGTGAACTTCTGTCTCGCAGGCCCCAGGTCTGGTGTCACTCTTACCAGTGGTAGTACCGGAAGCGTGGCCTCCAGTTTGGAGTACGCAGTAGGGTTTGTAAGGCGCAGGCCAGGTTGACAAAGAGGTAACACATCAGGAAGAACCTAAGAGAGAGAGCAAGAAGTGGGTTCATCTTCTGCGGCTGCAGGGGGCCGTGCCCTAAGTCTATGCCTTCTAGAAATCCCAGCCCAAAAGAAGAAGAGTCGGGACACTTACATAGAGAGGATGGGGGCTACCATGTCCAAAGAGGCAATGAGGATCCCTAGTTCTGTAATGCCAGCTGTCAAGAGCAAGGCCCAGGTGGGCTCACCGTTGGCTTTGCCATGACCGAACACCTGGGGTGTATAAAGAAGAAAGAGATCAGGCACATCAACTTCAGAAGTTCACTACTGGAAAAGAAAATATGCTTTCACCGAGTTGCCAAGACACTAAGCTGGAGTTGTCACTCTTACCCGCAGGAAGGGTATAATGTTGTCTTTAGCGATAGCTTGGAGCAGCCGAGGGGCCCCCGTGAGGCTCTGCAGCCCGGCTCCACAGGTTGAGAAGAAGGAACCGATGACGATGACCCAAGGAGAGGGCCAAGACAGCGTCCCCACCACGAGGTTCCCCCGCACGGTGTCGCCAAACCTATCCAATGGGAGGAAAGAATGGAAAGGTTACATTGCCTGCCTGAGCGCCAATGGTGAGAAGTTGAAGGATCCAACAGAAACAAAACCTTTCATTTGGCAAAAGTCTAAATAAAGGGGGTGATCCAGACTGTAGGTTGCTTTTAATTCCCAGTGATTTCAGTTGGAATAACTGCAATTCATCTATGGTGTAATCCTATACATGTCTATTTGGAAGCAATTCCAGTTGGGTTATTCCAGGATAAATGGGGTCAAGATTCTAACTCTAGTCTGGATCGAGTCTGGAACATGAGAGAGAGCGACAGGTATCAACTTTTTTTTAAAAGAATGCTTCAGAAATGTATACGAGGGAGTTCAAATTCTGTTCCCAGAGGAACTCAAGTTTTTAGCTAACACATCTAAAAGGTGGATCCGGAATATAATTATACAGCTGGTTTATATTTGAGGACTCTGGAACCAATGGAAGCCAGTTAATGGTCACTTACTTGTCTCTGAGTACAACACCTTCTACGCAAGCTCCAAAAAGCACCACATTGCTAAGATCTGGAGCATCAAAGAGTCAAGGAGTCCTACGTTACACAGTACGGTGAGAGGCAGTAGATGGTACAAGAAACTGGCCAAGCTTCTGTCACACTCACGGGTAGCCTCCACCCTTCTTCCTGCCCTTGCTTACTGACTATGTCACCTTGACTCATTTACCAAGAAGGATACACACAAATGAAGTGGTGAGAATGGCCAAGATGGTACCAATGGGAATAGATTTCTGGGCATCCTTCAGGTCTCCAGAACGATTTGATCCAGCCATAATTCCTGTGAAGAGAAAAGGCACAGAACCAGTACAGAGAAGGATCCACACGCAGGAGACACCATTTTACCTCAAAATAGGCCACTGAAGGGAAACAGCAATAAACCTACACCCACCAAGCCCCAGTCTCATCTATAGCTTTTTTTGACCATCCAGGATTAAGCCCCATTCCAGGCAAAAAGACTGTAATTGGCTGAAAGCTGGAAAGATCCACAGAAGATCCACAGAAGAGGTGGCTTTTAGGACTGGCCTCCCAAAGTCAGTATCAACTATCTCTGCTTCAGCTCTGGAGAGGGACCTGAATCATGCCCAGTAGCAACACGGGACTTACCAGTGACGGAGGGAAAAAAGATGCCAACAAGGAGGGTAAAAGAAGTGGTAATATCAGTCAGCACATACTGCTGATTTATGGCTCCTCCTGCATCAACTGAATGCAAAGACGGCTTCTCAATGATCTCGCCTTTCACCAGATAGTTGCTCCAAAGATTCTCTGAAAATTATTAAGAATATGTTTGAAATTCTTATCAATGTGGTGCTTTTCTTCCCTTTCCTATTGTCTCTTCTATCTTGTTCTATGTTTTTGTTATGTAAAAATTGTTTTATATATATATTTATTGCATTATTTTATGTTGTTAGCCGCCTAGAGTGGTCCTCATCCGACCAGATAGGCGGGATATAAATAAGATAAAATAAAATAAAATAAATAAATAAATAAATTTAACTTTCCTCCCAAGATCATAGAATCATGGAGCTGGAAGGGGCCAATAAGGCCATTCAGTCCAACCCCTGCTCAGTGTAGAAACCCAAATCAAAGCACATCTGACAGATGATTGTCCAATTTTCTCTCGAATGCCTCTAGAGTTGGAATGTTCCCCACCTCCGAAGGTGATTGGTTCCAATGTCGCATTGCTCTAACAACTAAGACACCTTTCCTGATATTCAGGAATCATGCTCTTTCCAATGAAAAAAGATCTTCATTGGAAAATCTGGCTTCCTGTGTTCCTGTTCCTCGTAGCTTGAGCCCATTATTATGTGTCTGGGGCTCTGGGGTGATTGAGAACAGATCCTGCCCTTCCTCTGTATGATTACCTTTCAAGTATTTGAAAACTGTTATCATATCACCCCCAGCCTTCTTTTCTCGAGGCTAAACATGCCCAGTTCTTTCAGTCTTTACTCAAAGAAGCTTGGTTTCCAGTCCCCTGATCATCCCTTTTTGGCCTCAGGGCAACAAGATCTTAGAACACTGCACCAACCTCATTCCATCAACCCTATCCTCATATTATATCCTTTGAGGAAGGTTAGTTTTATGAGACTCCGGTCAGTCCGACTATGCGTAGCTGACCTTCCAGACTGATAGATTGCAAACTTGCTTATTGAAGGAGTATGTTCTAGCCCACAGGGCTGCACGAGGCCTGAGATCATGCACGCTAGCCCTCCCCCAGCAAGGGAAAAGAAATCTATAAGAGGATTGCTGAGACAGGGATGAAGAGAAAGCTCCCTCGGACAATCCTGACACACATTGCTCTTTCCCTGGCTCAGAGAAGCAAACAGTAGCATACTGTATTCCTCCTTGGCCGACCAATATGCAAGAACAAGGACTCTGTCCACAGGGATGGGAAAAAAAGGCTTTCCTACCAGCAATAATGCCACTCGCCAGCCCTGGGATACCCTGGATAACAGTGACGTTGTTCTGTTGAAAATAGTCATCGCAAGAGCCGTTGGGGTGCTTGTTGCTGCTGCTGCAGAAGTGGTGCCAGAGGCGGGTGTGGACAGTGATGTTGTTACGCTCCTCAGTCTTGGCACACCGGTCAATGTGGTGCTGGGAAAGGGAGCGGTTCCCCAGCATGCACACGCTGAGCGAAGGAGAGACACAAAGAGGTGAGCAAAACTGGCGGCAAAGGTGCCAGCCCCCCAGAAACCTGTCACCCGGCTGGACAGCTCCAGCTCCCCATTACCCACAAACCGTTCAGATTGTCCAAAGGGTAGGCAGGTGGGGTTGTTCTCTTGCAACAGGGTCAGCAGGAATCCCTAGCCTTTTCATAGCACAGAGAAGCCCAAGCACCGGGGCCTTTCCGAACGTCCTCTGGGGAGCACAAGGACTCTGTGCCCGATTTTAGAAAGAAGCTGATTAGCTGTCTCCGAGCACTGAGTAACCTACGGGAAATTGGGAGGTGCAAAGGACGACTTGATGGCACCCGCGTAGATGGCCAGGATGGAGACGATGACACAGGCGAGGAAGAGGGAGGCAAATTTGTTCACGTAACGCACACCCACAAACACCACCAGCACCATCAGCACCAGGAAGGCAGAGCCATACACCCGCATGTTGTTCAGCATGGCTGCTGGCTCCTTCAGGGGATCCTCGCTACGGAAGATGGCTGCCTCGGGGGCAATGTACAGCTGAGAGAGGAGAAAAAAGAAGACACCCATCACTTTAGGAGGGGCAGCAACTGCAGGAGGTGCTATCTCTCATCAAGGCAATCTCATGCTTCTCAGAGGACTGCGGGATGCTTACTCTGCTTTCGCAAAGTCTTGCTGGACAACATTTCATGGATATTCTGAGGTGTGTAATACTTACCAGGAAGATTTCAATGGCTCCTAAAATATACATTGCAGCAGCAAAGGTGGTGCCCAGGTAAAAGCAGAGTCCCACAGCTCCTCCAAACTCAGGGCCCAGAGCTCGTGATATCATGAAGTATGAACCCCCAGCTACAGAGAGAAGACAAAGACACAGACTGGCAATGGAGACAGTAGCTGAGTCAGGGTGGGGACTTTAATCTTATCATTTTTACTTCCAACACACCCAGAAGAATCTGTTTGTTTCTAGAACTGATTATCTATCTTTCATCAAGGTGGTTTACAATAACACACTCAACTTTAACTAAACAAACCAGTAGAAAAGGACAAAAGGCACCGAGTTAAAGATTATTTGATTTCAAATGCCACCCTTGAGTCATTTGTTTTGAGAACAGGATGGATTGGGCCTGACATCTGGAAGATGACAGCAATGTTAGGAAGTGAGCATGCAGAGGGAAACAGTGGCCTATGTTTGGGCATCAGGAGATCTTTCCCTGGTAGGCATTTGCCTAATATCAGAGAGGGACACACTCAACAGGGCTCCTGGAAACAATCACATTTGGTGGGCAGTGCGTATGGCAGAAGATGGCTCTTTAAAATCAGGTACTCACCAGGCACAACTCCGTTGGTGGCAATGGCACTCATGGAGATGGCTGTTAGCATCGTCTGAAGAGGAGAAGAGGAAGTGACAGCAGGGCATTTAGACGGCAAACATACAAGCACAGAATCTGGACTGCTTTTCTCACTAAGTGGAAACATCAGCCTTAATATTGTACCAAACTTATTGCTGTATAACAGTTCTTGGATTACTTTCCGCAGTTTCTCCTAAAAGGGAGTCAAGTTGCCAATGCATTCTCATTAGGTGTCCTAATTGATATTACAAAAGCAATTAAGATCAGCTGCCACGATGGAAGTGCTCCTTTCCGTGATTAGATTGAGCAAAAGGGAAAGGCAATATTTGGGGAAAAAATTAAGTAATAGTAATTAATAATACACGAACAATTTAGTCTAAGAAAATGCAGCAATGTTAAGGAATGAGCCATCATTGATTTCATGGCACAACATGATATCCTCAAGAAGGATGCCTTATGGTCTAATGTTAGCACTTCAGCTATTAGACCATGTCTACTCGGGGCGGCTTATGGATGCCTTATGGTTTAATGTTAGCACTTCAGCTACAGCCTGTTATTTAATTTATTTAAATCATCACCACTGTCATCATGATTATTGTTAGTTCTTTCCTTCCTAGTCCCCTGAATTGGGGGCTCCTCCCTTGCCATACTTCTTCTGCAGGGCATCAAAGACCACAATGCAAGAACATGCTACAGGTGACAAGAGAAAGGAACTCACACAGCAGCAGCAGATGAATACGATGGCAAAGGCTTGCAATATCCCAGCTGTACCCACCACCCAGGTGAGTCTCAAGAACAGAATCACTCCAAAGATGTTCTGCAGGCAGGGCAGGTAGACCCCCATGAATGTGCCCATCTGTGGAGTCTAGGAGAGAGAAAGAGAACCATTTCAAAACCAACTTTGCCCATTTTACTGTGTTGATTTTGCTTTTCATCCTACAGCCTTACCTACCGTATTTTTCCCTGTATAAGACTATACTTTTGCCTAAAATCTTTAGTCTAAAAATTGGGGGTCGTCTTATAAATGGAAGTAAGCTGAGGAGAGAACAAAAACAAGTGGAGGGGAAAGCAGAGATCAAAGTGATCCTGCAGCGCTTTGATCCCTTTCCCCCTACACTTGCTAAACCCCACTTATTTTTCTTAATTTTGGATTAGAAACGTGGGGGTGTCTTATACACGGAAAGATACAATACTTTTTCCGAAACACAAACTTGCAACTTCCCTGCTCTCTGGACCTTCAGATCTCCTCCCTCGGAACCCCTCCTGTTTTATTTCTAGGGACACCAATGCCAAACAAACTGAGCTCAGAACTGTAATCAGTGTTATTAAATATGTGCTAATTTATACCCCACCTATCTGGCCCACCGGACCACTGTAATCAGTGTTATTAAATATGTGTATTAAATTATGTCCATTTAGAATACACTAAATCTAGATGATATTCAGAAACCTACAACCCTGACCTGAGATTTGGGGGGAGAGTGGGAATCCGAGGTGCCAAGGCAATTATAGGTCCCTGAATGTCATCCTGCAGCCCAGGAATCTGAACGTGTTGCATAGTTCTGAGGAGACAGACACCAAGGATTCCAGTCTGTCTTCATTCTCCAACCCCCTGGTTATTCATATTGTGTTCACCGACTGGCCAAAATCCAGGCCAAATGAAAAGACATTTTAACATTTCGAGAAGAAGCCCAGCACGTGATTCACTATAAGAAGGGAATCCTATAACTGTAGGATAGCTGAAGGAAAGCACCAACTCCTCTGAGGCCTGATCTCCAACTTTTCTGCTCCCTCGGTTTAAGGCTTTTACTACCTCAAACTGCCCACATTCTTCATGGCCGATAAGCAGCCATTCTGCTCCACACCTTTGTGGGCTTCTTCTTGCCTGGAGGGACATTCTCAGCCTCCTCATGTTCGCGTGCTCCCTGCATCAGGTTGGTGTAATTGGCCATGCGGTTGAGCAGGGAGGACACCTTGGGTCGGGTGTCCATCTCCTCCTGCAGAGTGGGGAAAAAAAGGACAGCAGCAGAGGTGAACGCAGCTCGCTGTGAACAACTTCATGAACAGAAATTCTGCCGGATTCATTTAGGCTGCAGTAACATGTCAAAGGTAAGGCGGGTTCGAATAAGAAGGAAGAAACACAGTAGGTCAAATAAGGTGTGAGTGCAGTAAAAAAAAGTTACAAGGCTCTCACTGTCACAACCTGCATGAATGCCATTAAAAATGAGAGAAATTTGCAACCAGAAGTGCTTCTTTGGCTTCAATCTAATTATAAGGAGGAAATGATAGTTTCAACTCAGTGATTTGGAAACCTGGTTACAGAGGGAGAGGTTGGGAGCTCCATTCCCCCCCCCCCCGGTGCCTTCCAGGAGAAAAAGCCAGCCTGTGTGGCACTGAACAAGTTGCAGTTTCACAGCACCCCTGGAAGAAGGGAACAGTAAAACACACCTGAGTATCCCATACCTAGAAAACCCTGAAAAGGGTCAGCCTAAGTTGGAACCAACTTGATCACTCATCATCGTTGTCGTCATTAAAGATGCAGGGCACTGAAATCTATTAATTTTTTTTAGCAAAAAAAAAATCCTGCTGAATTTTTATTCCTCTTCCCTTCTAAAAAAAATCACTGAAATGTGCTTTTACACTATCAGGTCTGCCTTTGTAGTGGTGACAGTTATTCTCCGAGAGGAAAAGGGGAAAAAAATTCATATGATACATAGGTTAATGTATCACATCTATTTCATGCCCCTGCACTTTTTTTGTGCATTTAGCTTTAGACAGAAGAAATGAGAAAGCAATCACACTAGAATATTATGATGGCATAAGGACAGGTGGCAACCTACACAGCCAGGGTTAGAGAAGGAGGGAGAATGGGAGGCAGAGAGAGCAATTCCAGACAACAGGAAGATGACCTTACCTCAAAGAGTGCCAAATTTTTGTCAAAGAATTCATCGCCATCTTCGTAGTTAATGTTGTTGAGATAGGCATGAGGATCTTTCTTGTGCCCAGGATCTACAACAAGAGAGAGAGGCTGCTCAGGGGAAGAAGAGTCGACCACATCTAGCAAGAAGAATCCACTGGCCACTACTAGAGATGGGGGTATTCATATACTCTTTCTTGTGCCCAGGATCTACAACAAGAGAGAGAGGCTGCTCAGGGGAAGAAGAGTCGACCACATCTAGTAAGAAGATGCCTTAGGTTTTTCCCAGCACTGGCCACTATGAGAGATGGGGGTATTCGTATACCAATATCCTTGCACAGGCGGCGTTAACAACGGTCCAGCCCCATGGGGCCAGACGGTCCACTCACCAATCCACCACGGACGGCAGGATTCTACAAATGGCTCCCCAGCACACAATCCAGTCGCCACTCTTCGACCTTGCAGCGAGGCTTGTCCTCCTGCCAGGAGTCGCAAGTGGATTGTGCACTGCCGAGCCATTTGTAGCATCGTGCCGTCTGTGGCGGATCGGTGAGTGGACCGTCCGGTCCCATGGGGCTGGACTCTCGTTAGCGCCACCTGTGCAGGGATATTTGTATACGAATACCTCCATCTCTAGTCACTACCCCTGTATCTGCACCTTTGGAGTTGTGAACATCTGTTTGTATTTTTAAAATCTAGAATTTAAGAAGGATAATCAAGCTTGGTTGCTTTTTATTTGGTCACAGTTCTTTCTCAATTTGGTTTTAATCTAACATTTTCAGTAATCACAAAGGTTAGAAACTAGACATACTAACCCTAAGGATAAGATTTGTAAAAGAAAAACACCCCAACATTCTTTATTGAATTTTTTACGGAAAGCAACAAGTCGGTTGAGCTTGACAAAATCATAAATAATCCCTTCTTGCACTCCAAATTACTAATTCCCCCTTTAACCCCATCACATCCCATTCAGAGATCCGTAAAGAGAACCTCAGATATCTGGCACCCAGTTTTCAAACCAAAAACATCTTTCTGTCTGTTTGTCTTTCTTAAGTTTTTATACTGCCTCATGAGTGCAAAGCACTATTCCGGGCAGTTAACAATCAATGGATGCAACAACAAAACAATATAAGGGATGATTCTGTGTGAATTAACATTGTCTCCCATCTTTACTCATACCCAGAAGATGCAGATGCACAAAGAGATTCTGGGTAGGGCTGGGTGTTCTTTTAAATGCAGGTAACTTAGAAAAAGGCTTGGCCCCAACCAAACAAAGACAGCATTTTCTCCGTGCCCTACCCAAAAACCTTGAGGCATCAAATCTGGCCACATGCCTGGGCTGGATTAACACCCCACCCTGTTCCCCCTCAACATCGAGATCAGGCTTGTCCAACCTGCGGCCCGAGGGCCACATGCGGCCCAGGTCGGCTCATAATGCGGCCCAGTGCAATTTTTTATTTTTAAAGAAATTCCAAAGTTTTAAGTTACATTGCCGGCACTTGCGGCTAGAATGCAGCTAGGGCACGTCACAATGGTAGGGGGGGAGAGAGGGAAGGAAGGAAGGAAGGAGCGGGAGGGGAGGGGGGCTGCGTGACTGCATTGTGCCGTCCCCGTCAATAGGTGGACTCCCTCCCGGCCCCATAAAGCCACCAGAGTCGAAGCTGGCAGCCTCTGCTGTCTGAGATCGCAGCTGCCAGTAAGCGCGCTTGGAGCGGGGCTGCGGAGGATGGCTAGGGCTGCCCCCCCCCATGTGGCCCAAACCAAATTTATGTCCAGCCCAAACCAAATTTTCATCTTCTAATGTGGCCCAGGGAAAGTGAAAGTTTGGACACCCCTGATCTAGATGCTAGAACAAAAGGGATGATGTCACTTGAGAGACGCGGCTCCCCATGCATGAGAAAGACAGTACTGTATGTATGTATAGGCCAGTTGTGTATAGCAAACAGACAAATGAAAGTTATTTTAGAATGCCAGGGAGATACAAAACCCTATGTTCAACCATCCTAAATTCTGCTACCAGAAGACAGTATATTGTACAAATCAGGTGAGGCTTCTCTGGATTCCTAATCTCCCTGGTATACAGAAAGCAAAGAATTTGACTATGTCTAGAGAACACTCTCACTGCAACATATTCAAGATAACCATCTTGCTACAACTTGCACAATCAGTTGTCCTAGGCTGACAGAGAGGAAAGTCCTTATCTCTGGAAAGATCATGGGCTCTCCTTCAACTCACTCAGGTGGTTTGGTTCACTTTCCCAAATGGGTGAAATCCAAGGACTGAGTCCAAGGACTGTCACTGTGGAATGGTGAGAAGAATTATCTCACCAAAAGCCAACATGAGCACAGTCCTTCCAGGTAGGTGTGCCTATCCAAAAGCAGACTTTTAAACAGTCTACAAGTTTTCCTAGAAAGCAAAACTTGTGCTCTGCACTATGTATGGCTTATAAAATAAAGGCCTGCCAAATATTCTTCCCTACTCACTGCCTTTGGGGGGGGCAACATCCTCTCCATGCTGGTCTTACTTTATATACAGAATGATTATGACCTTTAAATTTTTTCCATCCTTTTATATACAGTCGTGCCCCGCTTAACGATTACCCCGTATAACGGCGAATCCGCTTCACGACAATGTTTTTGCGATCGCAAAATAATGTTTTAATGGGTTTTTTTGCTTTGCGATGATCGGTTCCCTGCTTAGGGAACTGATTCTTCGCATTACGACAATCAAAACAGCTGATCGTCGGGTTTTCAAAATGGCTGCCGGCTGTTCAAAATGGCTCCCCGCTGTTTTTAGGAGGCATTTTTTGCAAGATAGTCGCCCGAAATGGCCGCCGTATGGAGGCTCTTCGCTGGACGAGCAGGTATTCAGCCCATTGGAACACATTGAACGGTTTTCAATGCATTTCAATGGGCTTTTTTATTTCACTTTAGACGTTTTCGCTCTACAGCGATTTTGCTGGAATGCATTAACATTGTCAAACGAGGCACCACTGTATATAAAAAAGCTTTTTTGGTACTGTACTATGGTTGTTGTAGATTTTTCAGGCTGTTTGGCCGTGTTCTGGAGGTTTTTCTTCCTAACGTTTTGCCAGTCTCTGTGGCCG